TCGCGTCTAAATAATTTAATTGTGGCTAAAGGAGTTGGCGTCACTACAAAAGCCACTAGACGCAGTACTTGCAATGGCGGCGCTACAGTCAGTAATGCTGTTGCAGAGTTTATGAAGTGAGTATAAACTTCATTTGTTATTAATAAATATTACTTATGAATTATATGCCTATTATTATTTAATTAATAGCCGGGAAACACTTTTAGATGTGTTTTGTTTACTTTACAATGAATGTGATAAGGACACACTTAAAAAACGGGATCGCAATATTGCAGATTTCGTGAATAAATGTATGTATTTAGGAATTGGTTAATAATTATATATAAGAACACATTTTTAAACAGATCGTTCCATTGTTGAAGAAACACAACATTTAAGAGTGCATATAGATGATTTCACTGTTAAAAGTTTAATTGGAAAAGGTTACTTTGGTGATGTTAATGTGGTGGTTGAGCGCCAAACGGGCGATATATACGCTATGAAAAAAATTAAAAAGTCTAATGTTACTACATCACAGGTGAAGGAAGAACGTGATATAATGTCACAACACAGGTCGCAATGGATTACAAATTTACAATACGCCTTTCAGGTAAAAAATTTTTAACATATGTATATGTGTGGAATTAGTAAAAGATTTCTTTCGTATATATATTATTTTAACATCTTCACTTTCATAGTTTAACACAAATAATTAAAATCAAAGTTTCAAGGTAGTGCATGGTAATTTTAATTTTATTCAATATTTTATAATTTAACATTCAATACAAAAAAGTTTGTTGTTGTAATAATAATAATAGTAATAATAATAATAATTGATAATAATTTTATTATATAGGACAACGATAATCTCTATTTGGTAATGGAGTTTTTACCTGGTGGCGATCTTTTGAATCTTATGTCTCGTTTTGGTCCTTTTGATGAGGATTTGACAAGGTTTTATTTAGCTGAATTGATATTGGCTATACACGCCTTGCATACCATGGGTTATGTACACCGTGACATAAAACCTGAAAACATACTTATTGATCGTTTTGGTCATATTAAATTGGCTGATTTTGGTAATGCTGCTGCTTTGGACAGAGATGGTCAAGTTATAAGTTTATCGCCAGTCGGAACACCTGATTATATTGCTCCAGAGTTACTACAAACAATATCTACATATAAATTGACAAAGTCGTTGCATGACGTAAGTATTTTTTGCTGAAATATATGCAGTTTTTATTAGTTTTTTTATAATGTTCTATGATATTGGTTTATATTACACGAAATGTAGTTTAAAATTAGAAGAAAAATAAAAGAAAAATCCATAGTTGTTAATATCATAGCATATATTACTACATATTTATGACATGGTCCATATCAAATCACAAATAAAAAAACTCAAAACAAAATAAGCCGTGTTGATGGGGGCATACTCGTAATAGTTAGCTGTGAATGAGATGAGGAAGAAAATATATCAGTTATTTATCTCATGACAATACTAAGCGCTTGCCTGAAAACATATATCCAATACTAAGTCTATTTCACTTATCTGCCCAACAGCAGTTTATGAATAGAAAAGACTGTTTTTCTTTTCTAAAACACTTATGTAGTATTGTATCTAGTATTACAAAATTGAAAATGGTTAGGTTAGGTTATATCGGCGATGCTTAGGTAATGCTAAGGCGATGTGTTACTATATAAGAACTTTAAGGTTTAAAAAACACTTTGAACCTTTGGCAAAGCCTAAAATGGTGTTTTGAGTTAAGTCTTGGACCCTGAAAAAAGTAAACCCCATTTCTCTTAATAGAACGCAATCAACTTGCATCTCTTTATATCGTTTATTCTTTCTTCCTATTTCATTATTTGATAAAGAAAGATTTCAAGCACTGTAAAAATGAAATATATAAGTTGAAAAACTTCTAACTGCATTAAAATTTCGTAGTAATCTTTTTCTAACCGTTGTACCTACATTAACTGGAATTTTAGCTATTCAAAGCTAAATTCCAAATCATTGATTCTCTGAAACTTTCTAGTTTCGATTTGTATTGTCAACCAAGCATAATATATGGTTTTTATTGATACTAAAATTTCTTTATTAGATTGCAGTAATCAATTGAGAGTAGCTTAAAATTACTGAAAAAAATTCTATATGAGATTTCTAATGCATTGCCATATATAATATAGTTCACATAAATTATCCTTTATAATATAGTTCATATGCATTGCCATTTATAATATAGTTCATTTCATTAAAAAAAGGCACTGAACAACAAATTACATAATA